CCCCTACAGTTACATGGATAGACACCAATAAGACATGGACTTGCCTGGGAACAAGCTTAGAAGAATGTGCAACGGCAGCTCGCGACGTGAAGGGTGGAGAGTCGTTACACGTCAACCTTTGAGTAAGAGATGACACCTCCAGGTACTCCAGATATAGACCCATACAAAGAATTATTGGCAGAGAACCACTCTTATAGAGGTAAAACAAAATATCTACGTTCAGATTCCCTAGTTTAAGTAGTAAATGGTGAAAGAGGTACATGAAGGAAAGATGTGGGACAGGAGAGCCAGAGGAAAGCAAAGAATATCATGGATGGACAACATAAGAACATGGACAGGCCTGGATATGGCGGAGTGTGCAACGGCAGCTCCTGACCGTGAAGGGTGGAGGGTCATTACACGTCAACCTCTGACTCAGAGATGACACCTCCAGCTGAGTGGCAACATCAAAACAAAGGAACTCAGGGTACGGTACTCACTGTCGGCGATAGATGTTCTTGAAAAAATACAACGCAACGCCGGTTACAACTAGACCCAAAGTGAGCAGAAGCACAGCCATATTGTCTGACGTCACCAGTTTTCGTGTATACGTCACAAACGGCTGGGATCTGGGGACATTGAAGAGATAGAAATATAAAGAGACTCAATATTCTATTTATCTATAGTATTCTTGGCTTTGTTATTTCATTCCACCCCCCCATCTCTCTCTCTCTCTCTCTCTCTCTCTCTCTCTCTCTCTCTCTCTCTCTCTTTCTCTACCTTCCCTCTCTCTCTCTCTCTTTCTCTCACTCTCCCCCTTTTTGTGTTTGCTTTGATTTTGTAGAATGGGGTGAGGGGAACAGACTTTGAATTTTCCTTTTATTGCTTTAGTTGTGTTTGGACAGTCGGGTCTATCAGTTACCTTGGTTCGTTTCCTCTACCTAAGAAGAAATACATAATTTGTTTTGATAAACAGGTAAAGATGTTTTTTTTATATATATATCTGCTTTTTTGGTTTTGTTAACGAAACGAAAACCATTTTTAGTTTTAAAGCTATGAAATTTATAAAAATAGGATTACTAACGATAAGACCAAACTTAATATAATATTTCATACAACATAAATGGCACTCTAGAAGCGGTCCTAACCTTTCTTTAAACTATATTATATTTTCCGGTATGTTTTGCAGTAATGTAGTAAGCCGTAAAGACAATTATTGCACAGCTATTATCAATGGTAATGATGCACATCAAGCATAACAAGCAATCACTTAGAGGTGAATGGTTTACTGAAACAGATGTGATTGGATTGTAACAGTAAAATTAATTGTTAAAATCCATAACGACCAAACATATATATATATATATATATATATATATATATATATATATATATATATATATATATATATATATATATATATATATATATATATATATATATATATATATATATAATTTTATATATCGGTCATTCAGAACAGAAAGGAATAAATATAATTTTTGGAAGAAGCAGAATTTTGTCTATCATCCCTTTGTGTCCACCCCCACCCTCTCCCCTACCCCTACCCCTCCCCCCTTCCCCAACTTGTACACACTATTATTTCTTCTTTTTAAAAAAAACTGGAAGAGCTATCTCAACCTCATGATATTACTTTGATTTCCTTACGTCACCAGGTCTTCACAGAGAGGGCACTAATGTGTCCCGGTCCACGGGCCATGCCCCGCCCCCCTCACGTGACCCATCCAATGATCCTGCGAGTCTTTTGTGAGTACGCACTGGGATGTTACAATAGAAAAAATAACAGAATTAAGTTATAGGTTTATTATGGATTTAGAAGGTCTTCTTAATCCCTTCCTCCACCTCTTCATTCTTGTTGTTGAAGTGGGTTATACATGAACGTCCCTTGACGAATCCGTGGTGGTCGGTCGAAATCAGCGTGGCGGGTACATGAGAACCATTATGTGGGCTCATACTAGCATTCCTCTAAATATGCAGATGACACATGAAGGCACAGAGGACGATAGTTATTAACTGCCGCCTTGTTACGTTTTCTTGAATAATAGTGGGACGACACGCCGGCTTTCCACTTCCGTCTGCGTAAGCTCCATCCGCTTAGCGTCCATCCTACTGAGAACATCTTACGAGGAGCGCAAGGTATAGTCAGCTG